GTGATATATGTACACACACACGTACACACACGGAATACTACTTGGACACATAAATAGAAGAAATATAGCCCAGCTGGTGTGGCTCAGTGCCTGAGCATTGACCCATGCACCAAGAGGTTGCCGGTTCGATTCCTGGTTGGGGCACATGTCCAGGTTGTGGGCCAAATCCCCAGTGGGGGCATGCAGGAGGCGGCTGATCAATGTTCTCTCTCATCGATGCTTCTATCTCCCTCTTTCCTCTCTCTCTCTAAAATCAATAAAGAAAAAAAATTAAAAACAAACAACACAACAAAAGATGAAATATTGCCATTTATGACAAGATAGATAGACTTTGAGGGTATTATGCTAAGTAAAATAAATCAGACCAAAAAAACACAAATCATGACTTCATTCATATGTGAAATATAAAACAAACAAACAAAAAAACCCCCAATCAAACAAACAAAACTCATAGATACAAACAGACAGGTGGCAGGTACCAGAGAAGGGGGTGATGGGAGGAGGTAATGGCTAAAGGGGGTCAAATGTATGGCAACAGATGGAAACTAGACCTTTGGTGGTGAGCATGTTATAAGTGTATATAGGCATTGAATTATAATGCTGTACACCTGAAATTTATATAATGTTAAAAACCAATGTTACCTCAATAACAGAAAAAAAAAATTCTCACCTTCGTTCTACTGTCCCTCTCACCCCTCCAAAAAATAAAACACGAAGCTTGGGGAAACAGAAACCATGTTAAGTACCACGAGGATGCAATCAGCAAAACAAGTGGAGTTTTGTCTTGGCTGGTTTTGCTCAATGGTTAGAGTGTCAGCCCAAGGATCAAAAGGTCAAGGGCTACTTGGGTTGCAGGTTCTATCCCTGGCCCCAGCTGGGGTCATGCAGGAGGCAACCAATCGATGTGTCTGTCTCTGTCACATCGATGTTTCTCTCTCCTCCCTCCCTCCCTCCCTTCCTCCCTCCCTCCCTCCCTCCCTCCCTCCCTCCCTCCCTCCCTCCTTCCTTCCTTCCTTCCTTCCTTCCTTCCTTCCTTCCTTCCATCCATCTAAAAATCAATGAAAAAATATCCTCAGGTGAGAATTAAAAACAAAATAAAAAGTAGAGTTTCTTTAATACATAAAATGTATGGGGAAAAAGAGGGAAACACCTCTATAGTAAAGGCAATTTAAGATACTTAGTACCCAATTTTGCATTCATGGATTTTATTTGGATCCTATTTTAAACAAACAAAATTAAAAGGATGTTTATGATATAACTGGCAAAACTGACTGAATATTTGGTATTAGTGAATTATCAATTTTAGGTGGAACAGTGGTATCATAGTTACTTAAAAGAATCATCTTGTAGAAAGTCATATTTACAAATGAAAATAAAATGCCTGGGATATATTTCAAAATAATCTGGAGCGGGTGGCAGGGTAGGGCTGTAGGTGAAAGTGGACTGGGTCACTCTAGTATAAGGCACAGGAGCATGTTATTCCATTGTCTCTACTTCTGTATAGGTTTGAAATTTTCCATAAAAAATAATAATAAAGAAAAAAGACGCTTAGAATGAGTCATACACACAAAAAATATTCAGATAATATCAAAACATGTACAAGAAAGCATTGAAGACAATTTTCTAATCCTACTGAAGTTCAAAAACAAACAATGGCATTTGTGGAGAGAGAAAATTAGGCAGAAAAAGCTTCAGGTAGAACACCAGTATTGACCAGAGCTCCATAGGGTCCAAACTGGACTGTTTGATCCAAAGAATAAAACAACGAACTTTAGCAAATTTCTGGGCCTTTATATGTTCATCACAAATCAAGGCACAGAAGTTTGCTAAAGCCAATTAGAGTGAATTGCTAGGTTAGAGTCCGATTTCACCTGCACACAGGAGAGCACCGCTGTGTGTTAGTGATAAGAGGGCGTGCTGTAAGAAGACTGACAGGATGCCTGAGAACATCATTCCAGTGATCTTCTCGTTGGTGGCTAGATTTAGGCTTAGTAATGAAAATCTGAACAAGGTTGTAGAAATAAGAGTGGGAAGAATTAAACCCAGGGACTTAGTTACATGAGGGAAACAGCAGAAAGAACCAAAAGCAAATCTTTGGCAGAGGCCTATAGGGTTGGCTGTCTGGTGACAAGAACGGAGATGAAGAGACTTAGAGAGGAAAATGGCTTTATAGGAAAACAAGAGGTTCCAATACTAAGTTTGAAGTGAAAATGAACTGCAGGTGACACATTTAAAAAAACACACATGTTGTTCAAAGCAGGTGTCTTTCTTCATGTGCTTCACTAATGCCTTACAAAGACACCGTAAATGATAAATGAGGTCAAGTACTACCAAAAATAAAGAAGGTGGATTGGATACATACACACACTTCTACTCACTCCTGAAACTCCACTTTAAGAGAAAATCCAGTGTTAATTTTTAGAGCATAAACTGACAAAGACAGAAAATGACAAAGAAGTCAGAGCAATAAAATCACAAAGTTGGAAAGCAGATCTTTGGTGAATGTCTTAATGGATCCAAGAAAGCTGAATAGTAAGCCACTGGTGAAAGTGGAGAAGCAATGTGATGTACATGGCAGTACACCTCCCCCAAGCTCAGGATTTGGTGGTATCAAGTATCTTTGGAAGTAGGGATGGAGGTGGGACTCTACACAGGCATACTGCTTTAAAACATCTTTCAGAACAGAGCTCCAGAGCTCAGGGCTTGATGTAGTCCAACTGCCCCTACCCTAGCCCACAGACCATCTGGAGGTTTTCTCTGGAGTGAGTACAAGGTCTCCAGAGGACACTGCACAGTTGAGGAGAGAGTACCATTCTGAAAACATAGAAATTAAGTGACTATGTAATTGTACGCTGAACCTCAGTTTTCTTGCTTAACTCAGCTGCCAGAATGCATTTACTCTGGGTAAGAGATTTGAGAAAGACTGTAAGTTTCTGCAGGAAATACAAACAATTCAAGAGGAAAGATCCAGGAATCCTGACATCTGGAGTTGAAATGAAATGGCCTGACAGATGTACAAACTGCCAGTTATTAAAAAACAGTCATAGGATGCAAAGTTCAGCATAGGGAATACAGTCAATAATAGTGTAACAACTGTATGGTGCCAGGTGGGTACTAGACTTATTGGGGTGATCTTTTTATAAATTATATAAATGTCCAATCACTATGTTGCACACCTGAAACGAATATAATCTTGTATGTCAACTAGAATTGAAAACTTAAAAAAAAAAAGTCCAGACAGATCATTCTATAGTGAGGAACAGTCAACAAACCCACCCAGGCAGAGCTTCCAAATGGCTTTCAAGTATCTCCATTCACATAGTCACACAGTCCTTACGGGAAGAAGAAAATGTCAAAAATGGAAAAATAATCAATACCTTCTGAAAGATAATGTGGACCAGAAAACTCTTCAAGAGTAAAAATAAGGCTTTAGAACAAGTTGAGAAATTTCCCAGAAAAATATAACAAAAAGAAAATGATAGGAAATAGGAGAGAGAGGCAAGAAATGAGAGCACCTGCATAGGAGGTCTAACATTTGAATAACGGGATTTCAGAGCTAGAGAACAGAGACCAAGGAAAGAAAGAGAATTTAAAAAAAAAAAAAAATCAAGAGAGTAAAACCAAGGAATCAGATTTTCAATACTGAGTTCTTAGAATAGTGGATGAAACAGAGCTGGTGGAGCACACTGCTGTGAAACGATGATTTTACAGACTTCCAGGGGGAAAAGGCTTCATACAAAGGGTCAGGAATCATGACAGTGATCTGGAGCAGCAACAAGATCACTAAACTAAAAGACAATGCATGGAGCAATGACAACCATTCTGAGGGATAATGATTTTCAAGCTAGAACTTGACATCCAGAGAAATGACTGTAAAAGCAGAATAAAAATGTTATCAGACATGTGATGCAAAGCTCCCCCTCTCCCCGCACCCAATCTCACACACCCTCTCTTAGGAAGCTACTAAAGTTGTATGTACTCCAAAAATAAAAATAAAACTAAGAAAGATTAGAGAGACAGAAAACAGGATATAAAGAGAGAGTAAACAATAATCCTCAAGATGATAGACAGTAAAGGAAATCCCAAATGGAAGAAATGCAACAGGCCTGCAGGGCAGGCAACCCAGACTAGAAGACTCCAGGTTCCAGGATAGAGCTCTTTAGGGAAAAAGAAGTTGAAAGAATACAAAGGTATCTGAAGGTGTTAAAGTGTAAGTATTCACATCACTGGGTGAAAATATAGGGCTGAATTAAGTGACAAGTGTATGAAGACAACTAAGCATGGAACAGTGTTAGGCAGAAAGGGAAAAGGAATTATAACACAATACATGCTCAGTTCAGTGAAGGACAGCATTAGAGTCAAACTAATGTAAACACGAAATGATTACCTAGCCAAAAATCATATTAAATTGGGAAGATTGGGGATGCATCCAGTGATGGTAGATTAGTCCTACTTTTCAGGAGGAAGAAATAATACCTAAAATTGAAAAAAAGAATTGGGAACAATATAGCCAAGTTATTTACTAGTGACATGAAGATAAGTACTGATATATGAAAAGTGAGTGTTGGCAAAGGGAGGAAAGATACTTTTGAATCAAAACCTATATAACTGTCTCTAAACTATACACTGATAAGCATACATAACTAATAAGCAAAGTATACTTTTTAAAAAATCAAGCTATTTGAAAATCACATTAAGTGGATAAAAAAGGGACTCTACAATAAACCTGACAAGTCCAGTGACCGAAAATAACCTCAACAGGGTGATCTGTTCATAAACGCCTAGCCGGGTAGGATTGCTTCATTATACCACTCCCTCTACATTAGCAAACTTTCCCATAATAAAAGGTTAAAAGAAGAAGTGAAAAAATATTCACTAAAATGTTAACTGGCAATCTGGGTATAGAACTGAAGATGTTTTCTTCTGTTAGCATAACTACACCCAAATCTCATTCATTACTAGCCACTTCAAAACAAAGCACTGAGACAAGTTTAACTTACCACCCAACAGGCATTTCCAAGATCAGCAATCTTCACTTGGAGCTTCTCTGCATTTTTTGGCTCAAGGGGATTAACAAGAAAATTTCCAGCAGTGGATTTTCCTATAGACAACAGCATCATCTATAAGACTGTTAAATGAACACAGAACTACCCAAAGGTTAATAAAACTCTGAGGTAACACACCCAGGCCCCCAATTGGCAACTTTCTAAGGTAAAGGAGTAATGCAACATCTTGAGTTTCCAGAATTAAAACCTTTGCCTTCATAGCAACAAGTGAAATGCTGTGCACTCATTCCATGATCAATGCAATTCAGTTACCTACAGACTTACGCACTGAAGGTAACCTGGACATCTGCTGTAAAGCCTTGTTTACAAAAACTATAGTACTTTTAGTCTAGAAATTCATGAATATGTTATGCAGGGAAGGAGTATTAGGGAAGTATATTTGTACAGGTACCTTTGTTGTCCAGTGGTCCATTATGTTCTTGGTCTTGTTCATCTTCACAGGGTATTTCTGCCCGAATGCTTTCTTGAAGTTGAGTGATGTCCTGTTCACTTAGTGACTGGTCTACGTTTGATGAAGACGGGCACACCATGGTATCTGACACCTCAGAGGTTACAGGTGTACAAGAGTCTGTTTCTTGAGATGTGCTGCTGTCTCCATTTTGGGAGCTTAGGAAACTAGTTTCCTGCTTCAAATTTTGGACATCATAGTCATTAGCATTATGTAGATCGTCTTTAAGCCTCAATGTTTCTTTATTACTGTTCTCAGTATAATTAGTGATTTCAATTACTCCATTGCAATTAATTTCTGCTGCACCACCCTCTACACCACGTTCCATAAGTGTTTGATCCTGGTCAACGGTACTTGACTCTTCTAAGGAACAAACAGACAAAAAGGATGTATGTGTATGCATAGGAGTGAAAGAACAGAAAAATTTCTCCATGAGATCAAAACATTTTCTAGAATTTACACAAAGTTACATTAAAACAGGACTGAACATCTAAAGCCTACTTATGGATGGACAAAGATCCTCTTTATCCTTACCCATTGGTAAATGAAGTCTATGTTGAATTTCCTGAGAAAAGTTAGAAATTACATTTGAATATCACCTGCCTAATATTTACGACACATTCTGTATTCTTACTGTATAAGGACACCCCCAGAGATATGTTGTATGCATGAAACCACTATATATAACAATGATAAAGTTAAACTTTGCTATAAAGTAATTTTTGTGATGCTCTATTTATACCAAGTTTTTCTTGGGTCATTTTATTAGGTGGGTTCTCTTTCAAGGGTCTTTCAACAGGACTCTCTGATTCTTCTTGCTTGTTTGGTCTTTTTTGCCCAGGGCCCGACTCTTTCTCCATTTCCTCAATTTCCTGCATTCGCTTCTCTAGTAATTCTGCCTGGCGCTTCTGCTTCTTCTTCAATTTCTTCTTCTTATTCTTTGACATTTTGTCAGCCTGGGCGGAGATTACAAACAGATAAAGCCTTCAGGTGGCTAATCCATTACTCCTAGTTGGAGATAACTGTTAACTTTAATTACTTCCTAATCAAATGTCACTCTTTCCCTAACACAGCACTTACGTTTTTCATGAACTTAAAAAATGTGCATACTCTTATCAAACCAAATAAAAAAGAAATTAACAACAAATCTTGGTCCTCTGAGCAGTCCGTGGGGCTGGTGTACTCTCAGACACACTCAAATTTATAGATGCCTCACCAGTATAACTTGCCGAAGATGCATGGAATTTATTGGAGAAAATTATAGAAGCGCAGGAATATTTTTCCTTTGGTTTTCAAATTCTAAACAAACTGTAATTATCCATTACAGAGAACCCCTGTCCCACAGGTCAGAATTAAATATAAAAACACCTTATACTTACTGGTTTAGGCTGGGGCGCTGTACTGACTGAAAAGAAAAGAAAACCAAGTAAGAATCCCGACATTCAGTAGGTAATATGAACTAATGCTCATATACAACACCATACCAGAATGAAAAATTTTCCATGTACAATTTACATTGTAGAGACAACTACTGAAGCAACTTTGGTAGTTGCTTTAAAAAAAATAATGCATATAAAAGATGACAAACTTAAATTCTCCAGGTAGCATAATATATGCAGAGCCAAGCCTCAATTTTTGGTCTCCATGATTAATGCTGCCAAAATCCCATTCCCACATACTGCTTAAAATATAACACAATAGGCAACAACCCCTTCACCCTCATCCAGGAGGCCCATGGAATTCTTCCCCTTGCCACCTGTCTGCTCTGGGAGGAGAGTGTCGCCAGGAGCATAGTAATGTGTCACACAGCATGTCATGGATATTAGTTTAGCTTATCAAACTAGGTGGGAGGAAGAATCTTCAGTCTCCCTTAAAAATTTTTTAAATTGTGGTAGAAACACATAAAATTTCCCTCTTAATCAGTAGTGTAAACTGTGTTCACACTGTTGGGTAAAATTTCTATAACCTTTTCATTCTGAAAAAAAAAAAAAAGAAACTCCATGTTCATCACAAACTTTCCATTTCCCCTTTCTTGAATTTTCTTTGGGGAAGCCTATGATAACTGATACTTCCAACTTGAAGATCAAGAAAGTTCCTCAGCCCTGGCCAGTGTGGCTCAGTTGGTTGGGTGTCATTACCCACATCAAAAGGTTGCTGTTTCAATTCCTGGTCAGGGCACATCCTGGGGTTGTGGGCTTGATCCCCAGGAGGGGGCGTGAAGGGGGCAGCCAATTGATATTTCGTTCTCGCATCCATGTTTCCCTCCCTCTATCTCCCTTCCTCTCTCTCAAAAAGCCCTGGTCGGTTTAGTTCAGCAGTTAGAGCGTCAGCCCATGGACAGAAGGGCCATGGGTTCAATTCCAGGTCAAGGACACGTACCTGGGTTGCAGGTTCGATCACCGGCCCTGGTTGGGGGTTGTGCAAGAAGCAACTAATTGAAGTGAAAAATATCCTCGGGTGAGGATTAATAAAAAACAAAACAAAAAAAACCCCAGAAAGTTCCTCAAATGTAACTACTAAAATTAAAATCTGTACCTCAAATGGAAAATTGTCATAATCATAGTAACCAATATTTATTTAGCACATAATGGCATGTGGCACACCGCCAACTGATTTAACATAAAATTTAACCCCAATAACTCCTGTATGAGAATAAAATGAAGTCAAGTGACTCGCCCAAGGTAACCCAGCTGATGATGAAGCCAGGATTCAAACCAGATCTATTCATACCAGTACTTAAACTCAAGCGCTTAATAGATATTATCTTGCCCCTGCACAGATCTCTGATCCATAAATGAGAGTGTATGATCATGGTAAGAAGTAAACACATTAAAAATAAGCATCAAATCACAAGAGACAACATTTTAAAACAACATGAGTCAGCTTTTATATATATAATCGACATAGGTTTGAACCATAAGGGTCCACTTGAGAATTTTTTTCAATAAATACTGTAAATAGTAATTTTCTTAGTAACATTTCCTTTTCTGTAGCTTACTTTACTATAAGAATATATAACATATAACATACAAAACATGTATTAATTAACTATATGTCATTGGTAAGGCTTCTGGTCAACAGTAGGCTACTTAAGTTTAGGGGGAGTCAAAAGTGGTAAGCTGACAAGAAAAAAATTCTGAGGTGTCCTAAATTAAATTATAACAGGCTGAAGGGTGAAAAGAGATGAGAGGTTAATCAGTTAATGACTACAGGCCAAAGCCAACAAAGACTGATAACATTTCTGAATGTGTGCTGAAATTTTCAACTAACCAACCTCCAGGCTGCCGTTTCCGAGGGAAGAGCCTAAGGGCAGAGCAGCAAGCACTGCTGCATCCTGCTCCCTCGGTCTTTCCAGGCCGCCCGCACAACCAGTCTTAGAGAGCAAATACTTCTTTCTTGTCCTTTATCTATAACTAAATTCGTTTTTTGTTTTTTTTTTTCCCGGTTAATCCTCACCTGAGGATATTTTTCCACTGACTTTTTTTTTTTTTTTAAGATAGAGAGGAAGGGAGGGAGAGAGATACATCAATATGAGAGAGACACATCGACTGGTTGCCTCCTGCAAGACCCCAATTAGGGTCGGGGATCGAACCCAAGATCCTTGTCCATGGGCTGACACCTAACCACTGAGCCAAACCTGTCGGGGGTAACTAAATTCTTTTAAAACAACTTACTTATTTCTTCCCTAAACGGTTTGCATAAAAGAACCCTGTCAATCCCACAATGGTAGACATGTTGAAGTCTCCACCTAGCCCTGCTCTGATGGTTTAAACAGCATGCCCCAGGACCATGTCCTTTTTTTTTCGCTAGCATGTGGCTCAATAAACCTTTTCTTTTAGAAAAGCTTTTGGCCATGATTTACCAAAGCAAATTTTTTAATGCATGAGGGGGGGAGGGCTCGTGTTCTTAACTCACTGGTTGTTCAAGGGTCAACTGTACAATATATGTGTACCTAAAAGACGCAGTCTCTAGTCTTCTCTTTCCAAGACGAAAGCAATACTGAGAATGAAAAGTCTTTGGAAAACTGGGGCTATTTCTTACACGTAAGTACTTACTATATTTTATTGTTAAATGAATGAGTGGTGCTTTACATAACTGCCTGTAATAGAATAAAAACAGAAACTTAATTGCTAATGAGAGCCAAGTTCCCAAAGCAAATATACCTGCAGATCCAGAAGGTGGAGGAGCTCCAGACCGCTGCCACTCTGTGGCTTCTGCAGCCAACCTTCGAATGTACTGCTCATTCACCGACAACAAAATGTTTTCTGGTTTAATGTCAGTGTGGATGATCCGGCACTTGCTGTGTAAGTAATCCAGACCCTGTAACACCTGCAGGGGAACAGAGCAGAGACTTGCAAACACAAAAGAACAAGTCTTTCTGGAGAAGGAAGAAATCACAGTAACATTTTATTTTTTAAATCCTCACCCAAGGATATTTTTCTATTTTATCATCAGATTGAGTGGGAAGGAAGGAGGGAGAGACAGAGAGGGAGAGAGAGAGAGGAACATTGACATGAGAGAGACACATCGACTGCCTGCCTCCCACATGACCTGACCAGGGCCTGGGGATGAACCGCACCTGAGGTACGTGCCCCTTACTGGAATCAAACCCATGACTCACTGATCCGTGGGCCAAGGCTCTAACCGCTGAGCCAAACTGGCCAGGGCCACTGTAACATTTAAAAAAATAAAAAAATAAAAATAATGTGGTAGTTTTCCACAGAGAAAAAGCATTATTTATAAAGCACAAAGACTAACTGGGAACTATGCATGAAGGCAAGAGTTTATTTATAATAAAAAGTTCTTCCAAGTTTTACAAAGCTAATTCTATTTAGAGATATCTTTAACTGAGTACATTATAAAGAGTGAGAATAAATGGTCCACATGCTCTTTAAATATTGAAATGTAGGTGGAGAAAGAGATTTAGATATCTTTTAACTCAAATTTGTCGATGAAGAGTTGGTCTCTTGCTCCCAGTCTGGAGCTCTTTCCACCAAAACACATTATCCAAACAAATGATTTGCCTTTTGATATATTAATACCTTCCTAATGGTAAATTTCTTTACTGAACACTAAAAGGTATTTATAATAATAGAAAATGTCCACAGCTCTGGCTGGTGTGGCTCAATTGGTTGAGTGTTGTCCCATGTACTAAAAAGTTGCCAGGTAGATTCCTGGTTAGGGCACATGCCCAGGTTTCGGGCTCGATCTCTAGTAGGGGGTGTGCAGATGGCAGCCAATTGATATGTCACTCTCACATTGATGTTTCTCACTCTCCCTCTTAAAAAATAAACAGTCCGGCCGGTATGGCTCAGTGGTTGAGCGTCAACCCACGCACCAAGAGGTCGCAGGTTTGATTCCCAGTCAGGGTACATGCCCAGGTTGTGGGCCTGATCCCTAGAGGGGGACATGCTGGAGGTGGCCAATCGATGTTCTCTCTCATTGATGTTTCTCTCTCTTCCTCTCTCTGTAAAAGTCAATTAAAAATAAACAAACAAACAGCCCTGGCCAGTTCTGCTCAGTGGTTAGAGCGTCAGCCTGTGGATCAATGAGTCGCAGGTTCAATTCTGGTCAAGGGTGCGTACTTCAGTTGCGGTTCTACCCTGACCCCGGCCCTGGTTGGGGTCTTGTGGGAGGCAACCAGTCGTGTGGCTCTATCACATAGATGTTTCTGTCTGTCTGTCTCTCTCCCTCCCTCCCTCCCTCCCACTCTATCTGATGATAAACAGAAAAATATCCTCGGGTGAGAAATAAGAGGACAAACAAAAAAAATCCCAATAAAAACATTTAAAAAAGACAATGCCCATAAACAATGTTATATAAAGGAACCGTAATGATTTGACACAGCAATTCTTTATTACCATAGAATCAGTATTTGTAACCAGAACTTCCAAAAGTCCTCCAAATTTCCAAAAAGCAGGAATTGCACACAGCTTCCCTTCTATAAGTTATTATAGAAGATAAACTGGGGGGAAAATGGCTACAATAAAATGTTAAAAACAGAATACAGTAAACCCTAGGGGCTAAATTAAATAATTTTAGCAATTAAAAAACTACACCCTAGTTTTAAAAATAAAACTTCTATTGGAAATAGGAAATTCCTGATACTTTAAGAATATATATGTAAAAAAAATCACCACAGGGTGGTGGGGGAGGGGGAAACAGATAAACCAAAGAATTTATATGCATATATACATAATCAATGGACACAGACAACACCGTGTGTGTGTGTGTGTGTGTGTGTAGGGCGCGGGATTGGGAGGAGAGTGTCAATGGGGGGAAAGGATAAACATCTGTAACAAAAATAAATTAATAAATAAATAAAAAACATACAATGGGGTAATACTTTCAGCCCCCCAAATTATAAAAAACAAACAAAAAACCCCCCCAAAACCACCATTGAAAATACTAAGATACATACTTGCTGAATGATTGTTTTGACACAAGGCAGTGGAAGCCCTTGATAGTTGGACTTGATGATCCACTTCAGCAGATGATGCCCCAAAACTTCAAACACCATGCAGATATCTAGAAGTTTGTTAAGGAGGAAAAAGGGAGGCAAAATGTGTCCCACCCCAATTATTCTTTCAGTTGATCTGTCAATATTCTAAAATTCCAAAGGTTGAAAACATTCAAGAAATGGAAATTTCTGGCAGGTTGGTTTATCAATAAAACTACACAAAGAAAAAGAAATTCTGCTTTAACTATAGAAGATACCAAAACCTTAACCCCCAAAATGCAAAACTCAACATTTCAAATAACATAGAAAACTGACTTGCTTTATGCTCTGTAGTTTACAAAACTAGTCTTTGTAGCGCTGTGTTCTGTGTGCACCCATCACTGACACACAGCATGAACACCATAAGCCTGGCTGTATGCGGAACACTGCAGGGATTTTCACGGCAAGATGTTGGAATCTTCCATTGCTAGAAGTTTCTACATAAATTGGGAAATCAAAACACGCGTATGTGATAATGACCTAGTGCCCAGACTTTTGTTTTGAATAAGATTTTTCACTAAAGAAAAACCTGGTTCCTTGAAGAAATGGCCAAGCCCAGGGTGAATCGGGATCATCTTGTGATGCCAACAGGAAATATGTCAAGAAGAAATAGGAACCAGCTTGAAAAGGATGCCATTAGCCAAAGTTGAGAACATTTTAAAGAGGCCAAATGGATACTACAACCAGCGTGTATTGGGAGAAGGAAAATATCTTTAGAGAAAAAGTAAAGTAATAAATATACAAAGTATGAAAGAAATAGAAAACCACCATTTTACAATGATTATAATAATACTGATTCAGGTAAGAATCAATGAATACTAAAACGTATGTAATGAATGAAAGACTGCTGGGAAAACTGTCACATCACCACCCCATAGATTGATTATTTATTTATTTATTTTATCCTCAACATCACCCCATAGATTATTTATTTATTTATTTATTTAATCCTCACCCAAGGACATTTTTACATTCATCTTGAGACAGAGTGGGAGGGAGAGAGAGAGAGAGAGAGAAACATCGATGTGAGAGTGGTTGCTACCCACACAACCCCAACCGGGGCCAGGGACAACTGCAACCAAGGTACATGCCCTTAGTGAGAACCGAACCCGGGACTCTCTGGTCTGTGGGCCAATGCTCTAACCGCTGAGCCAAACCGGCCAGGGCTATTTATTAATTATAAAGGGGAAAAGGTACTTTTAAACAGGGAAATCTGAAAAACACTGCTTTAACCTACTGATCAAACTCATCACTACCAATGATAAGCACAGATTCACATTATGTGCCCCGAGAAGAACAAGACATCATCCATGTAGTATACTTGACAAAAATGGTTAACCTGAATTTAACCATGAGGAAACAATTAGACAAATCCAAATTAAAGGACAAAACAACTGGCCTGGATTCTTTAAAAAAAAAAAAGCTGATGCTGTGAGAACGAAGACTTATTCTAAATTAAATACTAAAGGGACGTGACTAACCCAGAGAAACACAAATCAAAATTATAGCAAGATACCATTCAAACTTACCAGAATGACTAAAATAAAAAGACTAACATGACCAAATGTAGGTGAGAATGTGGAACAATTAAAACTCTCCTATGATGTTTTTTGAAGTGTAAAATGGTATCACCACTCTGGAAAACAGGACAGAGGTTAATGTACAACTAGAAACTTCTGCATCAGCCCAGATGGAGTAACAGGAACAGGATTTACCCTCTTGCTTGAAATGAAAACAAAAGCAGACAAAGCACATAAAACAACAGATTTTAAGACCCTGGGCATCAGACAATGAAGTTAGTGATCCTTGAGAGAAAGTAAATAAATGAGCTGAAGCCTACGGTTGTCCCGTCTTACTGCCTTGAGACTTTCCAGGCAGATCCTTTAAAGTAAACATATGGAGCGGAGAGTCTTGAGAGACTAAGGCAGGTACAGTTCATAGAACAAGGTACCAGAGAGGAGAGAGTTGCAGAAAAAGAGAACCCTGGAGATCTGTACAGGGACCCTCTCACGCATTTAACAGTGTATTAATCAGAATAGGTACATGAGGAAACTATCAGAGGCAGATAGAAAAGAAATCAACTGGAAGGATTAGAAGAAATAGTGTTTAGCATTCCCACAGGGTATCAATAGTGTGTGTTCTCATAAAAAAAGACTAGAAATATTCATAGTCATACTCATGGGCCAGAAATCAAACTACACATATCTGGTCAATTAATTTACGACAGAATAGCAAAGACTATACAATGGGGAAAGGACAGTCTCTTCAATACATGGTGTTGGGAAAACTGGACCACCCCATGCAAAATACCCGCTACCTTACACCATACCCCAAAATCAACTCAAACTGAATTGAAGCCTTTAACCATAAGACCTGAAATAATAAAACTCCGAGAAGAAAACAAAGATGATAGCTCCCTGACATTGGTTTTGGCAAACATTTCTTTGGATTTGATATCAAAAGCAAAGGCAACAAAAGGAAAAATAAACAAGGGGGACTACATCAAACTAAAAATCTTCTGCACAGCACAGGAAACCACCAACTCAATAAAAAAGCAAACTATGGAATGGGAGAAAATATCTGCAAAGCAGTGTCTGATAATAGGCCAATATCCAAAATACATAAACAAGTTGCCTTGGCTGGGTAGCTCAGCTGGTTACAGCGATGTCCTGATATATCAAGGCTGCAGGTTCAATACCTGTCAGGGCACATACAAAAAACAACCAATGGCCCTGGCCAGTTTGGCTCAGAAGTTAGAGCGTTGGCTCTCAGACCGAAGAGCTGCAGGCTCAATCCCTGGCCCCAGTCAGGGTCATGCGGGAGGCAACCAATCGATGTGCTCTCACATTGACATTTCTCTGTCTGTCTGTCTGTCTCCCTCCCTCTCTCTCCCTCCCCCTCTATCTGAGAAAATCAATGGAAAAATATCCTTGGGTAATGATTTAAAAAAGCATCAACCAATGAATGCATAAACAAGTGGAACAACAAATTGATGTTTCTCTCTCTCTCTCTAATAAACAAAATACATAAAGAAGTTACATAACTCAATAGAAAAAAACCCCAATCCAATTAGAAAATGAGCAGAGGGTCTGAATAGAAATTTTCCCAAAGAAGACAAAGATGGCCAATAGGTATATTAATCATCAAAGAATTGCAAATATAAACCACAATGAGGTATCACCATACACCTGTTGGAATGGCTATTATCAAAAAGACAAGGTGGGGGGACAGGATAGGGAGGAGGGTGTTGGGGGGAACAAAAGGAGAAACATCTGTAACGAAAATAAATTAACTGATTAAAAAAAAAAAAAGACAAGCGATAACAAGTGTTGGTAAGGATGTGAAGCAAAGGGAACTCTTGTGTAGTGTTGGTGGGAATGTAAATTGGTGCAGCCACTATAGAAAACAATATGGAGTTTCCTCAAAAAAATTAAAAAGAAAATTACTAGCCCCGGACAGTTTGGCTCAGCAGTCGAGTGTTGGCTCGCGGACCAAAGAGTCTTGGGTTCAGTTCCGGCCAAGGTCATGTACCTCAGTTGCAGTTTGTCCCAGGACCTGGTCAGGGTTGTGTGGGAGGCAACAAGTCGATGTTTCTTTCCCTCCCACTCTATCTGAAAATAAAGAGAAAAATATCCTCAAGTGAGGATTAAAAAAAGAGAGAGAATTACTATATGATTTAGTAAATCCACTTCTGGGTATTTATCTGAAGGAAATGAAAAACACTATGTCAAAGACATATGCGGAGGCCCTTGTCATTGTGGCATTATTTACAACAGCCAAGACATGGAAACAATCTAAGTGTTCATCGAGGGATAAATTGGATGAGTGGATAAAGAAGAGGTGGTATATACATACAATGGAATATTTTTCGGCCATAAAAAAAGAGGGAAATCCTGTCATTTGTGACAACATGAAAAGGTCTTGAAGGCATTATGCTAAGTGAAATAAGTTAGACAGAGAAAGACAATTACTAGTTATCACTCATGTGGACTCAAAAAACAAGAACAAAAGAAAAACTCCGGCCCTGGCCGGTTTGGCTCAGCGGTTAGAGCATCGGCCTGCGGTCCGGAGAGACCCGGGTTCGGTTCCCGCTAAGGGCACGTACCTCGGTTGCAGTTTGTCCCCGGCCCTGGTTGGTCGTGCGGGTGGCAGCCACTCGATGTGTCCCTTCACGTCGATGTTTCTCTCTCTCTCTCTTCCTCTCTCTCCCTCCCACTCTATCTGTGCAAAAAAATGGAAAAATGTCCTCGGGTGAGGATAAAAAAAAAAAAGAAGAACCCCAAACTTATAGATAAGAACAGACTGATGGCTGTCAGGGGTGGGTGGGGGTGGAGGAAATAGGTGAAGGTGGTCAAAAGGTACAAACTTTCAGTTTTAAGATGACACTGTTCTGTATATTATCATTATGTTGTACACCCCAAACTAATACAGTATTATTTAATTATATCTCAATTTTAAAAAGACTAGAAAAATTTGCAGTCATGGGCACTGGGTAGTGATTAGCCCCAGACTGAACACCACTCTGGATCCATCTAACAAATCATAAAAATAAAATCTGAAAATAAACTGTTTCCAAGTAACATAATTGCTTCCCAGAACAAAACTCAAGATTTATAGGAATAAAAAATATCCAGCAGTCAAATAGGTAAAAAAAAAAAAAAAAATCACTATGTCTCAAAGATTACCAGGCAGCAAACTGACTTAGAATTGTCACAGAAATTAGAATTAGCAGATAAGAAAATTAAAAGCTATAGCTGTATTCTATATATTGAAAAGTATAGACACAGAAGATACAAGAGACCCAAATTGAACTTCTGAGATGAAAAGCACAATGTGAGAGATGAACAGACACTAGATGGGATACATGGCAGATCAGGCACTGCAGAATAAGATTAGTGAACTTGAAGGCATGATAACAGAAACTATCCAAAGTAAAAAACAGAAAAAAATAATAAAACCAACCAACCCACACCCACAAGAGTGAGCTTTAGGGGGCAACTTGAAGTGACCCCAAAAAAAGTGAAGAGAAAGAAACGAAGGTATTGCTCTTTATAATAGATCACCAAATCATGAAAGTAATGGCATTGATCAACCCAGAAGCAAAGTGTACTTAGTGCTTAGATTCTATTCTCCATTTCCAACTATGTAAAAGGATTTAGGGCTTCTGCCCTGGCCAGTATGGCTCAGCAGTTACAGCATGGGCCTGTGGACTGAAGGGTTGCTGGTTCGATCCCCAGCTTCAGCCAGGGTTGTGCAGGAGGCAACAATCGATGTGTCTCTCTCACATCAATGTTTCTCTAGCTCTCTCCCTCTCCCTACTTCCTATTCTATCTAAAAATCAATGGGAAAATATCCTCGGGTGAGGATTAACAAAAATAAATAAATGTAAATAAAAGGAATTAGACTTCTTAGAGAAATGGATGATTCCAGGTTTGTACAGAAAATGTACAAGTTGAGCCTGAAACAATAATAATAAAGAAACTGTCTAAGACCTTATGTGGATCCTGACTCAAGAAAGAATAAAAAAACTAATAGAAAAAAATAGGAGACATTTGGAGAGACTGAAACACTGACTAGATATCAAATGACTAAGAAATTGATCCCAATTTTTTTAGGTATAATAATTATGCTGAGGTTGTATTTTAAGAGTCCTTGTCTTTTGGACATACATTCAAAAATACTTATGGATGAAATAATATATCTAATATTGGTCACAAAATTATCAGAAGGTATAGATAAAATAATACTGGCTGAGTTGATAATGCCTAGAATGGGTAATGGATCTCTGGGGATTCACTAAACTATTCTACTTTTGTATATATAAAACACACCAAGACAGAAAGAATTCTTAAAAATGCAGATTGCTTAAAAACAAAAACCCAGAAAGAAGACATTTTAAGTTATTTGCTTATGTTCCTAGTTTTCAATCTTAACTTTTATTTGTTGAGAAAAACACTGCAATTTGTCAATAATCTTGTTTTAATTTGTGATATAAAAATAACCAAACATTTGGTAGCTTAAAAAACAAAACAAAAATAATTGTATAAAATATCAAAAGAACATGTGAAAAAAACATCTTTTTAGGGAGATGGTGTAAAGAAAAAGACAAGTCTTTTAAACTAAGAGCGAGCCACATTTAGAGTGTATTCTGAAGGAGTTGGCAAGAGGCAAAATACATACTAGGAAAAGTATCCTAAAGATACTGTAGGTCACATAAGTGGTCAATGACACTCACTGGTTAACACCTATATTATGTACAGACTAGCTGTTCTTTCTTAGTGACTCCTCTCCCCTCACCACCCATGGAAGAATGAACCAATTTATACAGAAGTCTACAGAACTTCCTAGTTCAGGGTTCTTTATATTTCAATATGAGTAAGGATAGTGCCCCAGGGAAAAAGCAGTAGACAAAACAACAACAAAAAGTATAAGTATGTAGCTTCATGCAAGTATGCCTGTGCTGTGAAGAGAGATGAGGGGCAGGAGAATACCCCTGAACTCAGTGCTCTGAGTTTTATCTTTCCAGTCTCTAGCAGCAGATAATGCAGTTGCCGAGAGAGCTGAGAGACAAGGAGGAGAAAAGGCACACGGAAATGGCTAAGGACAAGGAGAAAAATGAATAAAACAGGGACTCAGTGAATAGAAACCACCTATTTTGAAAATACTTTGGAACCTGAAATTCAAATCTACTACGATATTTCAATAATTTTTAAAAAGCCTCCTTGCAAAGTCACTCAGCATTACTGAGGATAGAAGACTATCTAGAATATTTCTAGTTTTTTCTGTAACCATCTCAAATTAGCAATCTGGCACAATACAAGATTAAATAATAGGAAAACAGAATTAATGGCATCATTATATGTTTTTATTTATTCGTTAACCTTCTTAATAATTTGAACACAAAGCAAGCCATCTAAAAAGCGACCACAGTAGACACAAGATACTGTTTTAAAATGGGACAATTCTTGCAAGTTTTCCTTAGAGAACAGGAATGTGATTTTCACTTAAGAAAATAACTCACAACTAACTTCAGAATGATAGATAAAAATCTTTTCACATTCTCACCTATTATTCTCTCTGCTTTCTCATCTCTTCTTGCTTCTCTGTTCAAATCCCTTACCACAGTCCACCTGATGATAGAGCCTTACATAATCTGCCTCCTTAAAAAAAAAAAAAGACCATCGCTTGCGATTAAGAATGTTATGAGAAGCTAAACATGCAGGGAAACAGAATGATACATGAAGTATCTTTCCTTTATATTTTTAAATTGTTTATGAATAGGCAGTTTTAGACTTTCTAATATGAGTGAGACACTGTATCATTTATTCTGAAAAATCTGATAGGCCTTTATTAGTATAGCTGTTATAACAACCTTTCAATTAGTTCACTGCATGTTGCTCTGAAATGAACTTGTAAAGAAAATTGGCTGAGCTTCCTTTCAACTCTAAAATTCTAAGAATTCAGATAAAAACATAAAATGAGTCAGTTTTTTTCCATTATTATAACACCTGTCTAGATTCTAAGCGTTAACCAACACATACAACCTCTTCAATGTTGGGGCCTTGTTTACCCAGAATTTATCATGAAAAATTACTTTCATTATAATTTCTGTGCTAACCGATAAAAATCATAGAATTTTACTTAGTAATACAAGGCTATTTTTTAAAAAAGTTCTTTTGACTTTGGTATAATTGGGCTGGAAAGGGAAAAAAGCCTAAAGCAATACCCTGAAAAATCACAACATACAGACAGACATGATTCACATCTGTGGTCAGAAACTTACAATAGAAGAAAGTAATCTGATTCTAGTTTGTCTTGAGAAAACAGACCAATGCTGTTTATATAAATCAGGTTCCTTTTTTGGGATAAATTCATGATTTATTTCCCAATAGGTTCTTAGAAGGATACGTGTTCCATTAACTCCTGATATTTTAAAGTCATCTAGTAGTTGAACAACCATTTCCTTATTTGGATCATTAGGGTCTGAATTGCGAACCTATAGTAGGGAAGACAGTATTTAGTAAAAAGGAAAGCACTGAAATAAACCAAATGGTGGCCTGTAGCAAATATAACAAAACACTAATTACTCCAAGAAAGAGCAAATCTATGAGGAAAACACATCAAAATTTTAATAGTTCAAATAGGCAAAGAACTTAAACAGTTCACTAAAGAAAATGCATTCAACAAAGACTCTTGTTCTAAATTGACCATTTTCTACTCAAAATATGACTCCCAACTTAACTGTTGGTAAGCAGGCCATAAGTAATTAAGGAGCTTTAGTAGGATGCAAATGAACCACAGCACTAGCCACACTATTTATTTAGCGGATATTTTTGTTCAAAGAAAAACTTTCTCAATGTAGGTAGTAGTACATTAATTTACTTTTGGGCACAAGCTCCTTATTCTGTCATAGGCTGACACTTTGAAAAGTACTTCCTGGTCTAACATCATCACCATACAAAAGAAAAATCCAAGGTTCAGAAGAAATAAAATGATGAGTTAGAGGATATATTGGGATAGAACTCATCCTAAAACCCAGGTTTTCAAACACTGATTTTAAGCTCCTTCCACTACATTGGAATCTTCCGAATTTATGATAAAACTGAAGGTTTTTTATTTTTATAAATATACTTAAGTTTCAAAGTATAAAGGAATTAATAAAATACAATGTTTATTTTTATAACATCTAAAAACATAAAACAGATATTATATGTTTATTAGTATAACCTTCCTTTTAACCATAGTAGGAAAAAAACCCCACATTCTTTGTGCTATCTGGCACATAAATAATGCTCAATAAATGTTTTTATTTGAAAGATTTTTCTGATGTGTATGTAGGGGGAATTCCCATGATAGCATATTCCAACAGTTCCTTACCACATGCACAGAATATATAAATATTGTTGTCTTCGTCTACTTCTTTAAAGCTATTGAAACTTTAGAGTAAATATTAGCCACGCTAAAGAATTTACGTCTTGTATGTCTTAATTCAATAAAACTTTATTTACTTAATGCTTTGCAGTTCACACATATGATCTAATAATACTCACTGATTTCAGCAACCGGATTTCATCTAGTGCTGTTTCAGTATAATGTTCAGCACTTTTAACTACTTTCATGGCTACAAACTTCTTCCCCCTAAGAAACAAACAGAGACAGTTAGGATTAAATGTCTTCCCTTACTTTAGGAAGCTAAGGTTTAGCTATAATATGAAACAGTGACAAAAGTACAATACTAATTTCATGCTTCCCTGTACTCAAACACAGCCTACTTCTATGGGATCACTTGTACCCATCAATTAACTGGCCAGATTTAATTTACAGAAAAAAAGTCTGTTCTTGGGTAATGCCAGTAATCAAATATTTTTTCTAACCTAAAAATCTACCTTCCTAATGTCTCCCCAAATCCAAGTAAAATCATGAAATCATAAATAAGGGGGTAAACCCCATCAAATCTGAAATATCATGTCTACCTGGCAAAATTTTAAAGGTTAAAAACTATACTTTCCTAAGAAACCAAAAGAAAAAATAGGCTAAACCAAACTAATAAAAAAAGATAGTAGCCCTGGCTGGTTTGGCTCAGTGGTTTGAGCATCGGCCCGCGGATCAGAGAGACCCGGGTTCGGTTCCCAGGCACGTACCTCAGTTGTAGTTTGTCCCTGTCCCCGGTTGAGGTTGTGTGGGTGGCAACCAGTCGATGTGTCTCTCTCACAGTGATGTTTTTCTCTCTCTCTTCCTCCCTTCTCTCCCTCCTACTCTGTCTGAGGATAAATACAAAAATGTCCTCGGGTGAGGATAAATAAATAAATAAAGTACACACATAGCAATTACTGTCTCATCAATGATAGATGATACACTTTCAGGTAAACATCCAATGGTAACTGTCTGTGATTTTTATGTAGAAAATAGTTTCAGACAGTATTGCTGAGCAAATCTGCTATCAAAAGAAAATATAAGAAAATCTCACACAGATTGATCTAGCGCAGCAATTTTCAACCATTGTGCCAAAAGAATCTTTAAAACGTGCAATACCTGACTATTTAGTCAGGGACACTAACCTCTTAAATGGTCAAATAAAAAATGACAACAGCCAACACAACAATAGCCATCTGGTGTGAATGCTGTGTCTTGAACCATAACAGATTGTACCTTATTGGTCACAATGTATATTAAGGTTGCATCTGATTGGTTAATTCTTGATACCAGAAATCCTTATATAGAAAGAAGTATAGGCACATCTGATTTTTTAAGAAGTCATTTGGGAGCAAAAAGGGCAGGTAATTACTACTATTATATATTTTTTGCATTTAACTGTACTCCAGTGAGAAAAACTATGAATTTACAAACCATACTTTCAAGAATTATAATGTTCTGAATTTGGGAGTTCTAAGTGTCTCACTGATAACAATTTAATTAATCTTTTGTCTATAAGGCCTTCTTCACCAGAGGAAAGTCATTTGTCCAAGAACACAAAGATTACCAATGACAAAATTCTGATAAAAAATCAGCCAGAGTCAGATGGAAGGCAGACCAGCTCTGGAAAATCAGACAGAAATATTTAGCCATCACCTAACTAATTCTTTTGGCACCACTAAAACTTACTGAATATCCCATGATAACCACACTGTTGAAAAGTGTCCCCAACCCAACTTTCGGATCACATGATATCTCCCATTGAATAGATCTCCGATTTTCACAAGATGATAACCTCCTGGAAGAAATAACAGGAGGGAAACAGTCACTTCAATAGCATGAAAAAGTATCTTACATCCTATTTGTCAACATCTATACACATTTTAGCAATAAAAATGGTTTCTTCTATGCTATCAATTCAACAGAAGAAAAATTTAAGTCAAGTCAGTCACACTGTATCATTAAGCTCATGTTACAAAAAAAAAATCTTAAAAGAACAAAATTAGTGATTTAGAGGGAGCAACTGATACTTTGTAGAATAACCAATAGCTGCATATCAAATCTTATCACTGGTTACTTCTAGGTGATAGCATTAAAGAGGCTTTTATTTTCTTTTTGTTTAATATATTTCTGAAATTTTCTAAAGTAAATATGCGCACTATTATTTTTAAGAAGAATAAAAGGTAAAAACAGATTTAACATAAAACTAAGCTTTAAGTAAATTAAGTCAAACAAAGAGGAAATACTATTTCCTATACTTAAGAGAAAAAAATGCAGGAAGCAGAAAGCATCAAAACTTGACATCGATAGAGCAAACATTCAAACAAAAAACTGCATATACACAGATCATGTCTCACTTAGTCTCTTCTTACAGAAAGACTAACCTTTACAATAATCATTGGGATCTTCCTGCTCATCATCATCAGATCCCAGAATCTCCTCTTCCTGTTCTGGTGGGTCACTCTCTGAGTGGGGAGCAGAGCCTCGGTGCTGAGTTTCAGATCTGAGAAATAATATAAATGCGTTCAATCCAAATGAACAGAAGAAAACAGGACTTTAAGAAAATATCATAATCAAAATGCCCCTCCCAACTTAACATATAATAAACAAAATATTATCTAATGGCAGCCTAGGAAAACATTAGCTATCCTCATGTTAGAAAAATACCACTTTATTTTTATTTTTTAAAATATTTTTTCTTTACTGATTTTAGAGAGAGAGGAAGGGAGAGGAAGAGACACAGACAGAAACATCGATGAGAGAGAACATCGACGGGCTGTCTCCTGCATGCCCCCCCACTGGGGATCTGGCCCACAGGGCATGTGCCCTGACCAGGAACTGAACCGGAGACTTCTTGGTATGAGACACACTGGCTGGGCAGAAAATACCACTTAAAAAAAAATGTTAGTATATGATTAAATAAATCTGAAAAATGTACAGGGTGGGGCAAAAGTTTACAATTGTGAGTACATAAAATACAAGTTTATTTTTGTGTTATTTATAAATTATTGTATTTTCCATACAAACAACTGTAAACCTACTTTTGCCACACCCTATATATAAAAGCACAAAGGGTTTAAAAAGGTACCTGAATCATACTATCCAATCAACATTGCTGATAAAACTATTAGTTTTCTTCCAGTTATTTTGTTGTATTTTTAATAATTTTTATTTTTAAAATTCTCCCCCGAGGATACAGGAATATATTTTAGAGAAAGGCAGGTGGGGCAGTGGAGAAATAGAGAGAAAGAGAAAGAGAGATTGGTTGCCTCAAGAACGTACCCTGACTGGGCATTAAGCCTGCAGGCACTGGAACTAGACCCGTCACTCCAACCAACTTGAACCACCCCGCCAGGGCCATTTTGCTTTATTTTTATTAAAAAATTTGTAATTACATAGTATATAAAAAATTTGTATCCTGCCTTTCCTACTACATTGTAAACTTTTTTCCTCATTTCTGTGCAATCTTACATATTTCCCTTAGCAGTATCACCACTTACTTTGGCACATTCTGTTCAGCTGCACATTTAACTTGTTTGTAATTTTTCACTACTAAAAATAAAGCTGTTAAATATTTATACATAACCTTTATTCTGTATTTAGAATTATTTCCCTAAAGTCAAATAACCAGATAAGGACAGAAATAGCCTCCCTATTTATAAAAAGAACATGTTAAATGTACAAAATTTGTAAAAAAAAAATTATTTTGTTTTATAACAAATCTAATCTGAACCAATGAACATTTGGACTATTTCCTTCCAGTCTGTGGCCATGAATGGCTTATAGGATTATGCAGTATGATTTTTCTAAAAGAGATGTTATACTGAGTTGCATCTACAGCCACATATGGGTGTCCAGTATTTAAGTATTAACAAGTTCAGAAAAGTTGGTTTATTTGATAATTTCATAGTCATTAAAAATTTTTTTTTCCTTTATTGATTTTAGAGCGAGAGGAAGGGAAGAGAGAGAGAGAGAGAGAGAAACATTGATGAGAGGGAATAGTAACTGGCCACCTCCTGTATGCGCGCCCCTCATCCACTGGGGATTTGGCCCACAACCTGGGCATGTGCCCTGACTAGGAATCTAACCTCTTTGTGCATGGGTTGACACTCAACCACTGACCCACACTGGCCGGGCCTGTCAATTAGTTATATCAAAATTTTTGCGTACTGAGAAGTGCAGAGGGAGAAAGATTGGATGTACATTCAGGCTTTAACACTTATTAGCTGGCACATCAAAGTTACAACTAAACTGCTGAACAACCATCATTCAAAACCGCCTGAAATCACACTGAATGGAAGTCCTACAACTAAACACGAAACTAAAGAAGCAACTACATAGAGACTGGTAGGAGGGGCGGATAAAAATCAGGAGGACACTTTGGCTGTGAAGGTCCTCTCTGAGGACTGAGGGGTCCCCCTCCCACACCAGGCACCCTGCTCGGTGTTCCAGTGCCAGGAAGAGAATCCCCATACCTTCTGGCTGGAAAAACCAGCGGGAACTGAGGGTCAGGGAGGCTGAGGGGGCTGGAGCCCCAGGCACCTCCTCTTTTTTATTTTTCATTTATCTTCAGATAGAGCAGGAGGGACAGAGGGAGGAAGAGAAAGAGAAAGAAACATTGATATGAAAGAGACACATCGAGTGGTTGCCACCCACAAGACCCCAACTGGGGCCGGGGACAAACTGGAACCGAGGTACATGCCCTTAATGGGAACCGAACCCGGGACTCTCTGGTCTGCGGGCCAATGCTCTAACCGCTGAGCCAAACCGGCCAGGGCATGGCAGTTCCTCTTAAAGGGCCCGTGCACGGACTTATCGGACTCACTCCCTCTAAACTTGGAGGGGAGGCAGCTTGAGGGGCTCCAGAGACATACAGGGAAGAACTGAGCTGTTTGGCACTGAAGCGAGGGTTGGAGAGGGGGCTTTCTTGGGGACAAACATGTAGTCAGAGGCCTTTGTTCCTTTGGTGAGCCCTTCCCTGGGGCGGCAGACAGGCCCCATATCTGGGACTCCAGCAATCTGGCTCATACTGGTTGCCCTGCCCTGGTGATTCCCGGAGGCCCAGTCCCACCCAACTTTCAGGCCCACCCAAGCTGTTGCCAGTTGCTTCACCATAGGATTGGCCTGTCTTGGATCCTGCTTCAGGTTTTCCTAAATTCTTTCAAACAAGCAGCATCTGGTCCCAGCTAAGTACCTCTCATTAAGTAACACATAGAAACAAACACAAGGAGGCAGCCAAAATGAGGAAACAAAGAAACAGGTCCCAAATGAAAGAACAGAACAAAACCTCAGGAAAAGAACTAAGCGAAATGGAGATAAGCAACCTAACAGATGCTGAGTTCAAAATACTGTTTATAAGGATGCTCAATGAACTTAGTGAGAACCTCAGTACCTCAGTGAACTTAGTGAGGGTCTCAAGAGCATAAAAAATGACCAGTCAGAAACGAAGAAGGCATTAACTGAAATAAAGAATAATTTACACAGATTCAATAGTAGAGTAGGTAAAGCCAAGAAGTAAACCATCGATTTGGAATATAAGGAAACAAAAAACACCCAATCAGAACAGCAGAAAGAAAAAGAATCCAAAAAAATGAGGAGAGTATAAGGAGCCTCTGGGACAACTTCAAGCATGCCAACATTCGCATCTTGGGGTGCCGGAAGGAGAAGAGACAGAACAAGAAATCGAAAACCTATTTGAAACAATAATGGCAGAAAACTTCCCTAACTTGGTGAAGGAAAGAGACATACATGTCCAGGAAGCACAGAGAGTCCCAAACAAGATGAACCCCAATAGGCCCACACCAAGACACATCATCATCAAAATGCAAAAGGTTCAAGACAAAAAGAGAATCTTAAAAGCAGCAAGAGAAAAGCAGTTAGTTACCTACAAGGGAGTTCCCATAAGACTGTCAGCTGATTTCTCAAAAGAAACTTTGCAGGCCAGAAGGGAGTGGCAAGAAATATTCTGTGATAAAAAGCAAGAACCTACAACCAAGATTACTCTATCCTGCAAAGCTGTCAGTTAGAATCGATGGCCATATAAAGAGTTTCCCAGACAAGAAAAAGTTAAAGGAGTTCATCACCACCAAACCGTTATATGAAATGTTGAAGGGTCTTTTTAAAGAAAAAGATAAAATATAAGAACAAACAAAATGGCAATGAATACATGTCTATCGACAATGGAATCTACAAACAAAATGAAGCAGAACAGAAACACTCTCATAGATATAGAGAACATTTTGTTGGTTGCCAGATGGGAGGAGGATTGGGGGAATGGGTGAAAAGGTGAAGGGATTAAGAAGTACAAATTGGTTGCTAGACTGACAAACCTCAAAGGGAAGAGGGTTGGGAAGAAATAAACCAAAAAACTTATACGTAACCAATTGACACAAACAACAGTGTGGGAAAAGGCAAGAGGGTGGCGGGAGTGGGGAGGAGGGGTCAATGGGGGGAAAATGAGGAACATTTGTAATACATTCAACAACAAAGATAAAAAAAATAAAAAATAACAACAAAAAACAAAAACACTTATCAGCTGCCTGCTTTATAAAAATCTTTAAGCAAAAGAAGCAGGGTAGATAGCATTTCTTTCAGTAGCTGTGATGCCCATTTCTCAATATTTTATTTACCTTTTCATCAAACTATTTGACTGGACTTTTTTTTCAAAGGATTCAATAAAACAGAAAACAAATAGCAATAATAGCAAAACCAGTTACACTGGCTGTTGAAACCTAAGAAATACCTTAGCAAGCATGACTAATGACTCAGATTTAGATATATAGTGGCCATTCCAACCTGCCTCAATCTCTGGTACTTCTTTTTTTGTCCCCCAGGGAATACAAAAGTAGCTATAAAACTGCACAATACAAAGTGTTGATTGTTCATTCTTAGGGAAACATCTCTTTGGGAAACTTATTTAGGAAGAAACTACCAGGCCCACTTTCCTAAGTAAAAATAGTGAGTCTGAATGAACATCCCCAAATTTAAGATTAAGATATCTAAAACAGACTCTCTGATTTCAAACTTGCTGCCTTTTAGAATTGGTATTAAAATTTGATTGTAAGGAGAACTACAATTGTGAAAAATTTGCAAAGCAGTGAAATATAAGTAATAAAAACCAGACAAGAAAATGCTGGAATATAAGAATTCTATAAGTATCATGAGAGTAGTAATGTTAAAAATTATTTTCTAAAGTTTTGAAACATTATTTTGAAGCAAATATATTTGTAAAGAATTTCATAATTCCCTGATATATTTCTTTTATTGATCATTTGTTTTTATTTATAAAACTGAACATTAGGTATTAATCTCAGTTAAATGGTTCAAAACTGAATTATAAATGGCGTCACAATGTGAAATACTATGTCTCACTCTGACATGAACTGGTAGAAAAGAAAATCCTTTTATTCTAAGTAGATAGAGAAACAGATTACCTAAAGCAACATTTTTTAAAAATCTCATTCTTAAAAATTTCATTTAAAACATAATTTATATCTAAGTATT